ATATTACTACAACATTTTAACATGCAAAATCAGTATAAGAAAAGGAATAAAATACATTACCTTTGCGGTTCTTATTGGAGGTTGTGTTGTCCCGTTCTGGGGAAAAACTTGCACCTATATTCTCCCATATACGGCTCCTCCTCTCCCTGTCTATTTATTGGCTATGGGATGGATTGAGGACGTGTACATTCCTTACCTCCTCAACAATAAGCCTTTCCGTGTTGAACATGAAATTGCCAGCAGCTGTCATGCGCTCTCTCTATCTCTCTCTCTCTCTCTCTTTCTCCTACATTGCGCATGGCAGGTAACCAGAGGCTGGCAATGCATTAAAAAGCACCTTTGATGCATTTCCATGGCTTGCCATAAAGTTCTATGGGCCTCGCAGCGCATTATTGCGGATAAAATAAAATCAAATAAGTCCTGTTTCTCATAACGTGCGATGACATCGTGCATAATTAATAATAGTAGCATCTACACTTAAGTTCTAGCACATTAAACTGGTACAGTGTGAATGGGCCCTAAGAACCAGTTTAAACCTCTTTTAAAGGATAAGTGCTCTTTTAAATAAAAATAGCTCCTGTATTCTAAAACAACAAAGTTTCCAAATACAACATTTAACTTTGTTTTTTTCATTCTTTTCTGGTCTCTTTGTCATTTAAAGGGCCCAGCAGTGTACATTTCTTTTTGTTTATTTTAAAATATTTGACCGGTCAAACTTTTTTTCCAAGTGTGGAAGGATTAAAATTCCTGTTGGGTATTTACTGCTATCTGGGGAGAGATTTCACCTCACTATCACTGACATGGTTTCGCTAGCCAAAAAGTGAAATCTTGGAAATCTCCCAAAAGTCACGACGGATTACAGTAAAATGTTGACAGGAGTTTTAGTCGTCTTCTGCTCTATAAATAAAAGGCATGTTTATTTCTGTCTGTGTTGCTGTTTGGAGATTTCCCCTCACTTCCTCTCTTGTGTAACCATTCTCACCAAGACTAGGGGTTTTAATGCTTTCCCATCTCTTAAAGGGTTATTAAAGCCTTGCATGTTTTTGAATATATCTGCTGCAAGCAAGCAGTAGATATATGCAAAAACATTAAAAAAAAACTTTTCAAAAGGATTAAAACTCACCTGTGTCTCTGCCGCGTGTTTCCGTCCGAACATCTGAAGATTCTCGGGCAGGCGCATGCGCAGTTCAGATCTTCGGCCAGGAGACGAGGAGAAACACAAGGTTAGTCAATGCAGCAGCGTGCACCTGCACAGACTCCGAGGGACAGGAAGTGCCACGAGAGAGGAGTCATCGCTGGATCAGGGACCGGCACCAGCACTGGAGGTTCCTCCTGAAAACAACTGGAAAGGAGAAGATGATCCGATCAAGCGCCATCATTTAAGGGAAGTCCTTACACTAGCATTTGGGGGGGATTTATCCTTTTAATGTCACTTTAAACTTTAAAAAAAGGTTTTAGGTGGACCTACACTTATTAGCCTGTTTTCCCTTTAAAAAACTGTGCGCTATTGTGCTTAGTTAAATGAAAATGATCCCTTAGATGTTCCTACTTCTAATAGGTGGACACAAGCCAGGTTCATACTTATTGGGCTTGGCTGACCTATCTCTGGGGTTGCCTTCTTTCTGCAGCATCTCCTCTGCATTTTGCTTTCTGCACACATAATGTCTGGACTGAAGGCATGTTCTGTATAGGAATGGTCATTTTGTGACTCCTGGCATTGAGTCAAACAGGTAAGAGGAGCAATATAAAATGTTTCATTTTTTTTAACTTTTATTACAAAGATGCACTTATCCTTTAACGTCCATCCTTTCCATGGGGCATTCTGTTTCTGATATTTTAAGCAACTCTTGGGTTTGAAATGGAAGAAACAATGGTTTGCTAAGATATATTCTGCAATAAAATAATCAACTGTCTGAAATGAACGTGTCTGTTATTATTTCTGTTATTCTCTTTACTAAGGCATTATGCTAAAATGTTGTGTTTACATATTTGTAAATTTAGATTTTGCATTCGGTTAATTATTGTCCACAACAGGTGTGCTTTTATGTTGAGAAAAGCTCACAATGTGTTCATAATAGTATAGTATATTATTTTTGTACCTACTTCTCTCTAATGAGTCTTGGTTTCGGGAGAGATCTGCATATGATATTCAATTTTTTGATGAGCATAAGATTTCAATCTCATTTTAGAACTTTGGCATTTTGATGATAGAAATATGATTTGTTTGCATAATTCCTTAAAGAAGAACCATATAAAAAGTGGGATGCTGTTTAAAATGAGGAGCTTTTGTATCGACTAGATAGAACATTTTCACCACTTTCTCCTTATAAAGTGAGAAAAAGAACCCAGTACCCGACACCCTGAAAAATGTTGGGACCATAGTCCCCCAGATCCACTAAATTGTATTGATTAAAGTGGAAGTCAACTCAGTAAAATAAAAAAGAATGCTTGGAGCTATGGATTTTTTTTGGGGGGGGGGGGGGGGGGGGGGGAGATTGAAAAGCCTCTATTAAAACTCACCTGTGTCTCTGCCGCGTGTTTCCGTCCGAACATCTGAAGATTCTCGGGCAGGCGCATGCGCAGTTCAGATCTTCGGCCAGGAGACGAGGAGAAACACAAGGTTAGTCAATGCAGCAGCGTGCACCTGCACAGACTCCGAGGGACAGGAAGTGCCACGAGAGAGGAGTCATCGCTGGATCAGGGACCGGCACCAGCACTGGAGGTTCCTCCTGAAAACAACTGGAAAGGAGAAGATGATCCGATCAAGCGCCATCATTTAAGGGAAGTCCTTACACTAGCATTTGGGGGGGATTTATCCTTTTAATGTCACTTTAAACTTTAAAAAAAGGTTTTAGGTGGACCTACACTTATTAGCCTGTTTTCCCTTTAAAAAACTGTGCGCTATTGTGCTTAGTTAAATGAAAATGATCCCTTAGATGTTCCTACTTCTAATAGGTGGACACAAGCCAGGTTCATACTTATTGGGCTTGGCTGACCTATCTCTGGGGTTGCCTTCTTTCTGCAGCATCTCCTCTGCATTTTGCTTTCTGCACACATAATGTCTGGACTGAAGGCATGTTCTGTATAGGAATGGTCATTTTGTGACTCCTGGCATTGAGTCAAACAGGTAAGAGGAGCAATATAAAATGTTTCATTTTTTTTAACTTTTATTACAAAGATGCACTTATCCTTTAACGTCCATCCTTTCCATGGGGCATTCTGTTTCTGATATTTTAAGCAACTCTTGGGTTTGAAATGGAAGAAACAATGGTTTGCTAAGATATATTCTGCAATAAAATAATCAACTGTCTGAAATGAACGTGTCTGTTATTATTTCTGTTATTCTCTTTACTAAGGCATTATGCTAAAATGTTGTGTTTACATATTTGTAAATTTAGATTTTGCATTCGGTTAATTATTGTCCACAACAGGTGTGCTTTTATGTTGAGAAAAGCTCACAATGTGTTCATAATAGTATAGTATATTATTTTTGTACCTACTTCTCTCTAATGAGTCTTGGTTTCGGGAGAGATCTGCATATGATATTCAATTTTTTGATGAGCATAAGATTTCAATCTCATTTTAGAACTTTGGCATTTTGATGATAGAAATATGATTTGTTTGCATAATTCCTTAAAGAAGAACCATATAAAAAGTGGGATGCTGTTTAAAATGAGGAGCTTTTGTATCGACTAGATAGAACATTTTCACCACTTTCTCCTTATAAAGTGAGAAAAAGAACCCAGTACCCGACACCCTGAAAAATGTTGGGACCATAGTCCCCCAGATCCACTAAATTGTATTGATTAAAGTGGAAGTCAACTCAGTAAAATAAAAAAGAATGCTTGGAAATGTGAGTGGCAACTGTGCTCTGAATCCAGGAACAGTGCCGTACAGTTGCCACACCGTCACTGAAAGACACATTATGTGGGCTCAACCGGTATTTGTGGGAATTTGCAGGTGAACTAAGGGAATTTTTTTGGGGGGGGCAGAAGAGACATGCAAAGCCTCTATTGCCAAAAACAATTCTTCCTCTCTCCCCCAGCATTTTTTTTATATCTGTCTGTGTACACTGTACGTGGCATGTGCTGTGAAGTGTACACATTCAGCCAATTCACGGCATGTCTGGTGCCGTGGACGGTAAAACTCCTGTACGCATATGCATAGCATATGCTAATGTGCGTGTATGCGCATAAGGGCACAAAGGGAACATTTACACAGCGGGTTACATTCCCTTTAACAGCACGGCTTACCTAGAACAGAATAGGATCTCATGGGGCATCACGGCAGTAGTTTGTTTTCCCAGTTCAGAGCAGCTTAGCTGTAACCTTCTGAGGATGAAACACACAAGGTTGTAATTCTTCCACATGTGTTTGACTTTAGTATGGGGATCTCAAAGTTTTTTTGGTTTTGTTTTTTTTTTCCTGGTCATGCATTATCTTTAGAGAAGATCTCTGGGCAGAATAAAACTTAACTTTTGCAGTGGGGCTACCCCTGCACTGCAAGGGTTAAGTGCTTGTTTTCGACTAGGGTCTAAAATAACAAAGCTATACTCACCCAAATCTCTGTCCCATCTGGCTTTTAGACTGGTCACTGCATCCTCTTCTCCCCTGGGCTCCGGCAGTCTAAGGATCTGTGGGTCATCACTTCTAATACAGTGTATTAGATGTAAGGGTGCTGAGGGGAAGAGATGCTGCAGGGACTGGTCTAGCATCCAGGGGGGACCAAGGTTCGGGTGAGTATATCTTTGTTATTTGGAAACCCTGGATGAAAATGAGCACTTAACCCTTTCAGTGTTGGGGTAGCCCCCCTACAAGGGTTAAGTTGTATTCTCCCCGGAGTTCTTATTTAACCATATGTCCATTCACATTTTTTTTCTTTTTTTGGTATGTTTTTTTACCTGCAAAATAATCTTCCTCTGTGTGTTTCAAGTGTTGTGTCTGTTTGTTTTTTGTGTATTTGCAGGGAAATTGTTGTAACTTTTTCTTTTATCTTTTAAGATATGACCCCCGACACAACCGCTGGTTCCAGATCCAATCCATGCAGCATCCCCGTGCTGACTTGTGTGTGTGTATTTTGGGCCAATATATCTATGCAGTAGCAGGCAGGGATTACCATGATGAGCTGAAGGAGGTGGAAAGATATGATCCATGCACCAACTCATGGGAATATGTGGCACCACTTCATAAAGAGGCAAGAAAACGGAACAAAAACTGCTACATAATGTATATTTGTGGTCCTGGTTCTCTGGAGACCTAGTACACTTATTTAGGATCCAAATAGAACCATGGAATCATTCTTCCAGGAGTAGATGCCATCTTCATACAGACTCTAAAATAGATCTGCTCCGTTCAAAACATGGCAGGACCTTTGCCTATTAAAGTGTATTCTGGCCAAAGCTCCAAAGTCTTGGGGTTTTTGTTTGGTATTGGTGCTGATAACGAGTATTTGGGCGTGTACTCCTGCTCGCCAAAATGCTCCGATGCTTACCCCCGATACCAGAACTTCTGGTCAGAGGTAATGACTCGCCACCCGGCTTCCTGATTGGCCGGGAAGCCAGCTCCATGCTGATTGGCAGAGAAGCCGGCTTTCTGGCCAATCAGCATGGAGCCGACTTCCCGCATTGAGCCGGTGTTCTATCGAAAGCTCCAACTTGTCGAGCTCTCCGACTGGGCACGTCACATGCGGAGGTGCTAACAAACATATGTGATAGCAAATATACAGTGACATGTCCTCTTTATGGAGACATCGGGGGTCTATTAGACCCCTAATGTCATCTATGGGCCCCCAAAGAAATTGATGAAGCACACACCGCAGCTGGAGAAATGACACACTGAAACCTGAAGTGATGTAATTCACATCACTTCCACGTTCGGCGATCGGAGGGGAGATCAGCCGCATGGCCCACAGAGGGGACAGCGCAGCCTGGGATAGCCAACATTGGCTGCAGAGGGAGGGGGGTGAACGTTTCCACACACCATACAAGTGATTGGGCAACTCTATAGCTGCCCAAACGCTTATATGTAACAGTTTACAGTGTCGCATGAGCAGGAAAACAAAAGCCATTTATTTACAGAATCCCACTGTCACGCGCGAGCCGTCCATCCATTTAATTACAATGGGCAGATGGCAAGCGGTTCACTTTTTTACTAATAATGTGTGTAGGTTATTGTTTTTTTAGACCCTGCCCTCAGCTTGTGCAGCTTTCAATATTCAGCTTGAAATTGTGTACAGATAATGCAAAACGTATTATTTAAGGCAGGGGTAGCCAAACACTGGTCCTCCAGCTGTGGTAAAACTACAAATCCCATGATGCATCTCTCTCCGGGAGGAAACGTTATGACTGAAAATGGAGCCTGCCTTTGTTGATTTCTTAGTGTAAAAATGCAGGTTGCATTGCTGTCATGCTGACCCTCTTGCTTCAATATCTAGTGTTGGTAGATTAGAACAAGAAAAGGACTTTTGACTCTTGCCAACTCCTGATCTGCATACTTGTTCCAAGGCAGTGACATAGAATGCATTCAAGCAAGCGCATCATGAGAACAGCCAGATAACTAGCATTTTCAGAAGGAGGTCAGATGCGCAGCCTCAATAGTCTCCTCCTGACAAATGTACTTTAATGGAGCCAAGAAGACACACATATATGTCTGGGTTTTTTTTTCTCTCTGCAGGTGCATGCGCATTCTGGGTCAGCTCTTGGTGGTAAGGTGTACATATCTTGTGGAAGGAGGGGAAACGCGTACCTAAAGGAAACTTGCTGTTATGACCCAGAAAAAGATCAATGGACATATGTTGCCTCAGGGCCAGTAAGGAGGGCATGGCATGGCATGGTGTCTATTCTGGAAAAAACATATGTGATTGGAGGAAGCAATGACGATGAAGGCTTTCGACAAGATGTTTTGGAGGTAAATGCAAGATGTTTACTTTGTTCCTCTAATGCAGGGGTAGGCAACCTTGGCTATGTGCTAAAACTACAAATCCCATAAGGCATTGCAAGTCACAGGCATGACTCCCAGAGGCAGAAGCATGATGGGATTTGTAGTTTCAGCACAGCTGGAGAGCCAAGGTTGCCTACCCCTGCTCTGGTGCTTACCGCGAAGTAAACAGAATTCTAAATTGTTGACCTTTTAATTGCGATTCGCCCAAGCTTTAGCAATTGCTGACAATGGGTCAACCTCTATCTTTAGCTATTGTTTTCAGCAAATATACTCCCATTACCCCGTAAATGCCATCTGCACATTTTTTCATTTTATCTTTGCTTGTTCAATCTTTTTTTATTGGTTTGTTAGTTGTCAATAAAGTGGAAATCTCCTGTTCTTGGCAGC